TTTTGTTGTGGGAACGTCACGCTTCCCATTGCAAAACCATCGAAACCCATGAAACCCAGGGCATCCTGGAGGCGAGCAGGGTGTTGGCATGGGCATCCACTGCAAACTCATGGTGCTCCGAACCGCCAGAGCCATGGCGCCTTGGCTTTCTGGAGCTGAGCATGTGCTCCCTCGACGTGGCCAGTTTTGCCATGTGGGAGGGGTTCTTTTCACGGGGAGGCGTGCGAGGGAACTTCACAACGATAACGCAAGTCAGTGGGCAACAGTCTGGCTGCAGAACCTGCTACTTTGAGCGTGCAGGCGACGGAAGCCGGGGCGCGCGGAGCCTCAACCTGCAACCGTTTGGGCGCAAGCTGCAAGACTGTAGGAACAAACACCTCTACACCACCTCCATGCCTAGCCCCGGCAATCCTGCGCCCTGGCATGGTGCACGCGCCCTCCTGGCCGAGGCCAGGAGGGTCTATTCACCATCCTAGGGGCCAGGATGGCCTGGGCCTGGCATGAGTGTAATGTACACGTGGCTTCTGTGGACAGAAAGAAGCATGCGCCTACCACGCGCGTGTAGAAACGCCGCAGGCTGCTGCTCTGCGAGGGCAGAGCGCGAGCTTCGCAGTCCCAATCCTAGGCGAGGTCAGCCGATAGCCGGCCCGTCTCCAGAGACCACCACCACCGTCATGGTAACCATGCCCGCGAACAGCATGCCAATCAGGCACACGAAGCACGGCATATTTCCCCGCACGATGCAGCGCCCAAAGACGCCGCAGTGGTGATCGAAACCCTTGACGCACCTCTGGCAGACGCAGCAATGGTGGGCATTCTCGTCCTGCTTTCGCCAGACCAGGCAGCGCACGCAGTACGACCCGTTCGGCAGGCCTCGGTGGCTGTGGCCCCTGATGTTGTCCATCCCCTCGGTGGTCCCTCCAGAGCGGCTCAGCCGCTCCTCCACCTCAGGAGGCATGGGGTAACACGTGTCTGGGGTGCGCTTGATCACCCCGGCGCCCGCAAACTGTATGAACATAGTCGCCAGCACAGCAGCGACGGCCTCAGCCCAGATGAGCGCCAACAGCGTCTTGGTGACGGTCACGTCCTCCCCCGGACCGGCCTCGGCGAGGCGACTCGCGCCGACGCCGTGCGTGATGGCCACGAGCGCCGCGCTCAGCCCCGAGACGATGCACACCCCGAGCCACGGCTCCGACCAGTAGCCCGGCCCGCGGCCCGGAAGCCGCGGGAAGTCCGCAATGGGTATCCTGTGTGCGGACCTCGTGGTGTCCTCCGGGTCGGCCTGATGCACCATGGTGCTCTGGCAGGCCCCCGGCGCGACCTGCTCACGCGCGTCGGCTCGGTGGCGAAGGCACAGCCGGCCTGCCCCTCGCAGGGAAGAAGCTGGCGCCGCAGCGCGCCCGATCCATGACCTCGCGTCGGATAGCGAGTTGGGGCCGGCTGTCCGCTGGCTTTCGCCGAGGCCGTCTTGAGCCTGAGTGTCTACGGATAGGTGCTGAGCGCTTTCGATGGGGAGCACACTGAGGGCGATGGAGGAGGGAGATGGGGCAGGGGAACGAGGGTGACAATGACGATGATCACAACGGAGAGGAAGGTGGAGGAGGAGAAGGAAAAAAAACGATACACAACGAAACTGCCAAGGATGCACCTCTCAGTGGAAGAGAACCCTTGTAGGGCGACATCCCTGTGGAAGGGAATCCTTGTAGGGACCTATGAAAAGTGAACTTGGAGGGAGAGCTTATTGCTACATCGTTGACGAGTGTTGGGCTTACACTGGTCCGCCTCCTCCTCCTCCTTCTCCTCCTCGATCCTCGATCCTCCTCGTCGATCCTCCCCTGCCTTTAGTTTCTTTCCCCTCGCCACCCCCACCTGCTCGATCGTCGTTGTCCTCCTCCTCCTCCTCCTCTTTCTCTGCGATCCTCCCTCTCCTCGATGCCAGGCCCTGCTCCTCAACACCCCCCAGCCGTTCTCCTCCTCCTCCTGCCCCTCCTCCTCCTCCTCCTCCTCCTCCTCCTCCTCCTCCTCCTCCATCGCTTTTCCATATACGAGAAAGACAATTATCGCGATGGGAGGAAAGGGTTGGGAGAATGCAGGGTACGAGCGATGGCATCCAGATGAACTGAACGATACCTTCGGCCGCCTGCTTCTAGCGAGCGGAGAACGTGTTGTCACCGCAGCGCGTGGGCTGCCAATCCAACACTGCGCAAGCTTCCGAAGAAATGTATTGCAACCTGCAGTCTGCTTTGTGGCCCGCTCGGGGCCATCTTGGACCCCTGGGAACTTCTCAAAACGAAGGTTGCACCCACCAGCCTACTTCGTGGCCCTCTCGGGGCCCTCTTGGAGTCCTGGCGAGGCCTTCAGCTCGTATGTTTTCTGGGCCCTCTCAGAGCCATATTGGGCCACCTCAAATGTTGAAGCGACGCGGCGGACACTGGGGATGGACCAAGGGCATGATGAGCAAGCCGGAGGGTCTGGCACTTACCCTGTGAAAAAAAGTAGTGCCACATCGGGCTCCATATTACGACCCGTTGCTGCTGCGGAATTCGTCATCGTGCTCATACACGTTTTGGGAGGTCGTGGGAACGCAGCAAAGCCGTATTGCGTTCCGCTCCTGATACGGAAGCAATAGTGAGTTCCGTATTGCGTCCCGTTCGCGATGCGGAATCCCTGCTGCGTTGGTCCGATTCCGTTCTTCTTGGTTTGCGCCATGGCTTCTGCATGAGTCGTCGGCACCAGCGGTGCAGCATCGCTGCCCATCGGACTCCACAAGTAATGCCAAACTATACAGGCCCGGCTAGTGATGCGCAGAGCAGGGTTCTTCAAGATGAACTGCTGTCGATGAACGAGGGACGTGTGAATACGTTGAGCGAGACTGTCGTTTCCAGTGGGATGGAAGCGAAGAGCCCAACCAAGTACACGCAGAAGTGCCAGCGCAACTGGCAGGTAAGTCAAGCTGCACGGGGTTTGGAGGATGCGACGGCCAATGGCAGTGCACATGCCAGTCTAGATACCTTCAACATACGAGATACCACAGATGCGATGATCATTTCTCCCGGCCCCATACTCCCAACCCGATCATTGTCTGTATGAGAAAAAATACCCCCCCTCCTGTCGCACCCCCAGATGTGTCGCAGGGCTGAACCTAAACGGTGCTTTTCGTTTTCGTGTCGCTGTCGTTTTCCCTCGTCTTGTCCTCAACCCGCCTTTGCCGCAAAACGACGTCAGAACGAGAACGGCCCACGAAAAATCGCCAACACACCGTTTGGGTCTGGCCTGGCGTGTCGGTAGGGCGGGCTGGGCGTTTCGCCCTGAGGCTTCCCACCATGTCTGACCCCGACGGCGCAGCGCCGCACACGCTCGTTTCCAACGTCTGCAGACCTTTTTCCAGGACTCGTGCGCCTGACGTCCCAGGACTGGCGCCCTGGCGCGATTGGGGACTGCCACGGCGCATCAGTCACGTCAGACGGCTGCGTATATTCTGGCGCGATATAGGGCTACCAGGACGCACCGGTCACGTTGATTCGCGGCACTGGGATGTCAACAATTGTGGTTTGGCACGGCTGAGGATTCTGAGACGGCTGCCTTCCGATGGGGCACTTCCCGCAATGAACATACTTTCTCGTATGGGGCTTAGGGCGAGGAAACTAACGAGGGAGTGTTCATTGCAACGTCGTTGATGCATCTTGGGTTTGCACTGGTCCTCCTCCTCCCCTTCCCCCTAGAGGAGTAACAAACTGCGTAATCATAAACTCTTGACGGTCCGCGCGGATTTCTTACATCTGCGCTGACCCTCCTTCCCTGGCGAGTGCGAGCGCGCCAAGGGCGGCGCTGGAGGCGCCGCCAGGGGGGCCCATCGCAGATCCAAGAAATCCGCGCAGGCCGTCACAAGTTAATGCATATGCCGATTATTGTTCTTCGAGGCTCCCACGTCAGCGTCGTCGTCGTCGTCGCCGTCGCCGCCGCCGCCGCCATCGTCCTCGTTCAGGGTCGGCGGCGCCGGCCTCAAGGCCTTCGCACTATTCGGAAATTGTCCATCCCCCCCAGGAGTGGCACGATTTTTGGCCCTTCGGGGCTGTTTTGGGTTCTACGTGGGACCCTTCGAGGTCCTCGTCTGGGCGTCTTGGGGCTCTCATTTGGGCAGGGACCGACCGTCCCGGCATTCCTACAGTCCTACCACGAAGTGTTCTTAGAACCCCAAATGTTCTAAGAACAAAAACAATGCCCTTCGATCATTAAGCCCGATGCTATCAAACAAGACAGACTCCGCAAGACATGTTCTGAGAACATGTCGTGGACACCACAGCAGATTCGTAGACAATTTCTTGGTAGGGCTATAGGCGAGCCAAGACGCTTCGCCGCTGCTCGGCTCGTGGGCCGCGGTGGGCGCTACTTGTAGCGTCCAAAGCCCGGAGAGCAAAGAGGCACTCATACTGGAAAACTGTCCTGACGAGCTCTGGGAAGCCCTCCTGAAGCGCTTCAGAAGCGCCGCCAGGCACGCTTCCACGCGTGCCGGCACGCGTGCAGGCACGCGTGGACGCGTGCCGGAAGCGCTCCCGGACACGCGGCGAGGTTTTACAACCCGCTGCGACGAACGTGGAGCGCCGTGGAGGAGCTGCTGGCAGGCACCACCACCGTCCAGCTTCCAATCTAACACCCTACAGCTCTCAGAGAGCTCTCCGGGCACCCTGGGCCGCCGGGTGCCTGACCGGCCGAGGCTCCCCTGGGGCGCCTCGGGGGCCGCTTGGGGGCCGTCTTGGGCCGTCGGGCGCCGCGCGTGTGGAGCCTCCCCCTCTTGGTCCCCCCCCCCTCGAACCGCCCCTCGATCCCCCTTCGGATCCCCCCCCTCGATCCCCCCCTCGATCCCCCCCCTCGATTCCCCCCTCGATCCCCCCCTCGATCCCCCCCTCGATTCCCCCCTCGGTCCCCCCCTCGATCCCCCCAAAATCCTCCTCCCCCCGCGATCCTCGACGCACCTCCCCGCTTGCGCGGGGCGGCGGGGCCTCGCCGACGCGGTAATACTGTGCCGCCATGTCGGCGAACCTCTCCTGCCCGGCCTGGCTGCCGCGACGCGCGCCCCTCGGCCCCCGGGAGCCCTCGGAGGAGATGGCAGGCAGCAGAGATGCAGAAGCACACTCCTCCCCTCCCTCCTCCTCCTCCTCTCCTCCCTCCTCCTCCTCCTCCTCCTCCTCCTCCTCCTCCTCCTCCTGTCCCTCTCTCCTCCTCCTCCTCCTCCTCCTCCTCCTCCTCCTGTCCCTCCTCATCCTCCCTCCTCCTCCTCCTCCTCCTCCTCCTCCTCCTCCTCCTCCTCCTCCTCCTGTTCCTCCTCCTCCTCCGCCTCCTTCCTCCCCCTCCTCCCCCTCCTTCTCCCCGCCTCCCCTCCCCCTCCTCCGCTCGCCCTCCCCTTCCTCCACCTCTGAGCAGGAGGAGGGACAGGGGGAAGAGAAATGGGGAGCCTGGCGCTGGAAAGCGTCCAACGAAACTGCCAATGCGACGAAGAGAGCCTCAGAGCGCATCCGACAGCATCCTCAAGCGAGGAGGGGGATTAGGATGAGGTGGGACGACACTAGCCAGCAGCGGGGGGGAATGTGCCAAATGCAGAAGCAGTTCAGCAAGGGAACGCCGTATCCGATGTACTACACACTGAAATGAAATACTGAGCAGGACTCGTGCGAACAAGCGTAACACAGAAAACGGGCAGGACACTCGCGGTGGGAACCAGCAGCAACAGCAGGACGCGGAACCACCCAGCAGGGGCAAAGAGAAGTCAGGCAGCACAAGAGAGCCAGCGGCAGAGAAGACAGGATCAGGACAGAGCGCGAGGGAGAAGGCAACTGGCAGGAGGAAGGCAACACAAACGCAAGACGGGATGCAGCAGGCAACGCAGCAGCAGAATGGGGGACGGGAGACGAGGCAGTCTGAGGCGCTGGCTGGGCCGAGCAGAGACGGCCGCTGCAGCCTGCCCGCTCCCGTAGCGCCCCCCCCCCCCCCTGTGTGAGCTTCATCACGGGGTTGCTTCCGACCAGAAGCCTGCGAATAACTGAATCATACTACTAGTGATACTGCGAATGATAAAATATGATGGCCAGGTGACCACCAATGCGGGTAATCCTCAACGGTTGTAATACCAATAACAGCAAGACTGATAACCATACTACGAATACCCATAACCGTAACAATACTAGTAGTGCGGCAAATCGTATTATTACGAATAGTACTGACACGTGTGCTACGCATTCAAAAATGTACCAATGATGCTGAGAAGAATGAGACTGATAATGATATGGATGATAATCATAATACTAATGAGAATTTGATCACTAATAACAG